AACTTCTGGCTAGGTGCATGGTGGTTCATGCCTTTAAGGGCACTTTTCCAGCACTTTGGGAGGCTGGGATGGGTGGATCCCCTGAGGCCCGGAGTTCGAGATCAGCCGGGCCAACATGGCAAAACCCTGTCTCTACTAAAAATACAAAAATTAGCTGAGTGTAGTAGTGGTGCGTGCCTATAGTCCCAGCTACTCAGGAGGATGAGGCTTGAACCTGGGAGGCAGAGGTTGCAGTGAGCCGAGATGGTACCACTGCAATCCAGTCTGGGTGACAGAACAAGATTCTGTCAGAAAGAAAGAAAGAAAGAAAGACAGAAAGAAGGAAGGAAGGAAGGAAGGAAGGAAGGAAGGAAGGAAGGAAGGAAGGAAGATAGGAAGGAAAGAAAGAAGGGAGGGAGGGAGGGAGGGAAAGGAAAGGAGGAAAGGAGGGAAGGAGGGAGGGAAGGAGGGAAGGAGGGAGGGAAGAAAGAAAGAAAGAGAAAGAAAAGAAAAGAAAGAAAGGAAAGAAGGAAAGAAAGAAGGAAGGAAGGAAAGAAAGAAAAGAAAGAAAGAAAGAAAGAAAGAAAGAAAGAAAGAAAGAAAGAAAGAAAGAAAAAACTGTAGTCGCAGCTACTCAGGAGGCTGAGGCAAGATTACTTGAGTCCAGAAAGTGGAGGTTGCAGTGGGCCTTGACTGTACCACTGTACTCCAACCTGTGCAACAGAGAGACTTCAACTTAAAAAAAAAAAACAAACCACATACTCTGTAGGGGGAAAAAGAGGCAAGTCGTCCTTTAAGGATGACCCAGAAATTCCTTGAAGGAACAATAATTTCTTGAGGCTTCAAGAAAAATAAATGATTCGTTCATTGCAAGGGTACTGAGTGCTAATCACGTACCACTGACTGCACTAAGTATGGCTGTGGGGCCTGCCCTCACAGAATTTAGTTGGGGACGTTGTACAATCATAGCTATGATACTTTTTAATGCAGTAATTCTCAACTGGAGGCAATTCTTTCCTCCAGGAGACATATGGCAATGTCTGAAGACATTTTTGGTTGTCACAACTGAGGAAATGTAATTAGCATCTACTGGGTAGAAAAAGATGCTGCTTAACATCCTACAATGAACAGGACAACTCCATAATAAAGAATTATATAGCCCAAAATGTCAATTGTGCCAACGTTGAGAAACCCTGTTCTAATTTAATAAAGAGCATAGGGAAATGCAAAAGATCCAAATAAAATGCTAGCTCAGGACTTTCTAAATTAGAAAGTCACCTGTGCCATATAATAAAAATTAAGATAAAGGTCTATCTGTGGAGAATTCTGTAAGATGGACAAGACTCTGTGAATATGAAGTCAGTGAACAGAAACAAGATGAAAATGCTTCTTATTAGAGAACTTTTTTTTCTTCTTCTTTTTTGTACCAGCTGAGATGTGCTTTGTATTCACACATATTAGAGAACTTTTAAAAGATTAGTCTGCTTGTCATAGAGAAGCTGAAGTATAGGTCATGAAAGCCAGGTTAGCACAAATAAAGAAACTGATGGCAACATTTCAAAGCAATAATCACTAGGATTGGGTAAGACACCACTCTAGAACTCTCAGATTTCAAATCTCAGCATTAAATTTCAAACCAGAGGCTCAACTTCCAGTGACACTTTGCATTTGCTTGAGTAAAAAAAAAAATCTTTGATTCACAATGCTTCACAAAAAACTGAAAGGAGGAAGTCACCTTTTTTTCTTTTTTTATAGAGATGGGGCGGGGGGGGGGGGTGTCTCACTATGTTGACCAGGCTAGTCTCCAACTCAGCCTCAAGAAAGTCACTTTTTAAGGCTAAAAAATAACTGCAACCAGGAAAAAGGGTGAGATCATTCCTCAGGTTGGAAACAAAACATTTTACAGACTCAGTAGCTAACCTCCCAAAGCAAAAATATACTCACTGAATCTTAATATCACCACTTTTAGTTTGCACATTAGGCTGTATTCTACAAAGTACTTTCACTGCTACCATTTTATTTAAACTTCTCTGATATCAATTATGCCCACCCAATTGAGGAAGTATTTCTGGAGAAAGCAAGAAACAACTTCTTTTTCTTTTTTTTTTTTTTGGAGACAGAGTCTTATAATGTCACCTAGGCTGGAGTGCAGTGGTACAATCTCAGCTCACTGCAACCTCTGCCTCCTGGGTTCAAGCGATTCTCCTGCCTTAGCCTTCTGAGTAGCTGGGACTACAGGCATGCACCACCATGCCCAGCTAATTTTTGTATTTTTAGTAGAGACGTTTCGCCATGTTGGCCAGACTGGTCTTGAACTCCTGATCTCAGGTGACCTGCCTGCTTCAGCCTCCCAAAGTACCAGGATTACAGGCGTGAGCCACCCAGATGAGCCCAGAAATTTATGCTGGACCCAGGAAAATCTATTAGCAAACTGCCAACCACAAAATCAACTTCAAACAAATTCAACAATTAAAAGCCCTTCACAACCGGGCACGGTGGCTCAAGCCTGTAATCCCAGCACTTTGGGAGGCCAAAGGAGGCAGATCACCTGAGCTCAGAAGTTCGAGACCAGCCTGACCAACATGGAGAAACCCCGTCTCTACTAACAAAAAAACAAACAAACAAACAGCCAGGCTTGGTGGCACATGCTTGTAATCCCAGATACTCGGGAGGCTGAGGCAGGAGAATCACTTGAACCTGGGAGGTGGAGGTTGCGGTGAGCATCGCACTCCAGCCTGAGCAACAAAAGTGAAACTCCATTTAAAAAAAAAAAAAAAAAGCCCTTCACAACCTGGCAGACATCTATCTTTTTTTGCAGTCTGATGTTGTGCAAAACTCCAGGCCCCAGTATGGCACTGAACAATTTAGGCCCTCTCCTGCCTCCATATCTTTACTCTTGCTGCTTCCTTTAGCTGACCCACCTTATCAGACATCTTTGCCAGGATGTGCTACAAACACCTCAACCTAAAAACATTCAAAATACATTTTTACTCCCACATCACCTCCCTAATTTACCTCTCATAGTCTTTATCTCAATGGTATTACCCAGTTCCCTAAGCCAGTAAGCCAGGCAATCAGGCTACTCTTACTTCTTAATTCCCATAATCAGCCTCCAATTCCATGGATTCCATCTTTTTTTTTTTTACTCTTTCTCAATCTTGTGATGTATCTTCCTAATATTGCTCAAATCTGATCCTTCCTCACCATTCCCATTTCGTAGTTCAGGCCATGCCTACAGCAACAGCTTCCAAACACCAGTTTACTTCCCCACCGGGACTGGTCCATTCCCACTTGAAAGACTGAACTTTCTAAAATATAAATCTGATGATATCATTTTCCTGCATAAAACCCTTCAAAGCATCTCTACAGCTCTCAGGGTAAAAATCCAAATTTCTTAGCATTGTTTACAATGTCCTCCACATATGACTGACTTGACTACATCTCACTTCCTCCACTTCCCCAACCATTAATAGAACTCCAGTCACACTGAACCAGTCATGGTCTTTCACCTGTCCATTTCTCCAGGTCCTTGCACCTGTAGTACTCTCTGCCTGGAAATCCGTCTTTGAGGTTGTCTACGTTGCTAAATAAATATTTCAAGAGTTAACCTCCCATTTCCTCCTGGAAGCCTGGACACCTGGCTCAGGTGCTCTTGTAGCCCTGTGCTATGCACTATGACACTATAAGCCATCCCTCAGTTACTTGCCTATTTCCTCTCCCTCTGTAAACTCCGTAAGAACAACTGTATTCTCTGCCACAAAGGCTGTCTCATTAAAATGTGTCTCATACATATTAAGGTCTTAATAAAGTCTGGTAAATGCTAAATTTTCACTTAAAGAGAGATCCCCACAAAGAGCTTCAACTGACACAGTTCTGATGCTAACCTGTCTCAAATGTTCTCATTCTCCTCTTTCAACGCATTCCTATTCATCCTTCAAAATTCGTCTTAAAAACTTTGTTTCTTCAGAAGGGCTTTTCCTGTATCCCGTTACATACTTTCAAAGCACCCTGCTCTTCCCTTTTATAATTACTTCTTAAACATCCCTGCAAACACTACTAGCTCCATGTGAGCAGGGTCTATGTTGTTTTGTTTTAAAACTGCATTCCCCCCCCATCTGGTAAAATCCTGGCACAGAATAAACACAATTTGTTATGGTGAATTTAATCCTGTGGGGTCAGCGGAGATCTCCACTGAAAAGATGAACAAAAGGAGGCTCAATGAAGTTAAATAAAGCACCTATGGTCACAGACACTTAGCATTGAGGCCACACCAAACCTGAGCCGTCTGATTTCAGGTCCAGAAGTACACGCCTTCAATAAAGTTAGCCTGGCTTTTCAAAATAAGAGCAGCAGCTGAGGAGGAAAAGGAGGCTATCTGCCTGTAAATACAAGGACTTGCCCGCCTCTCTTTTAAAAACTCCCTAGGCATTCCAAACGGCTCAATTTGGGAAGAGGGGGAAAAAAAGGTTTCACGCAGTGGGTGGCCTTTAACCTGCAGCAGTCTGCGGGGCAACACCGACCGGAAGACGATCCCAAGTTAGAGAGGTTCCGAGCAAGACGGGAAGGAATTGCTGGTCATCTAAGGAACCAGGATCATAATTCCGTTCTTTTCCTCACTCGCTGTATATCTTAGACTAGCCTCTTCCCTGGGGATCAATTTACCCATCAGTGCAATGGGAGCGTCAGCAGGGGACAGGGAAGACTCTCCGATCTCGGAGGTTCCTTCCTGTCAGAGCACCTCAGAATCAGGTCTCCGCTGAAGCTGATGGGCAGCGCTGCGAAATCGAGCTGAGGGGCCTCCCCGGGGCAACCGGACTCAGCAGCTCACCCCGGCCCCACCTCAAGAGACCGCGCCCAGGAGTCCGGGTCGGCCTGAGGGCCTCGGCCCCGGCCACCTCCGCAGAGCTCAGGACACGCTCGTAGGCGAGAACGGCCATTAACAACACCAGGGGCCAATGGGCCCCGGAGGGGACCCCAGTCCCTACCCAGCCGCCCAACCTCACCTCAGACTACTGCCTCACCTCCGGACTGCGTTCAGCCGCTCTCCACTTCCGGCAAGAACCGCCCAGCAATCTCCGCGCGACCCACTTCCGGGCCCTCACTGGGCGCGGCACCCCCACCGGAAATGAGCCGCCGGCCAAAGTGCTAGGCTAGCCAGCGAATGGGCAGGAAGTCTCGTTGCCGCGCTCGTGACTCCGCCCCACTTCGCCACGCCCGGGAAAGAGCGGCCAGGCTGGTCCAGAGGGCACTTGGGAAAGAGCCCCGCCCTCAAGGCGGGAGCCACGCGGGGAGGGCGGGCTCACAAGCGAGGCCACGCCCTCGGCCCGCGGTACCTAGCGGGAATCGCCCCCGGAGGTCCGGGCGGGGAAGAGCAAAAGTCCCTGGCTAAGCTACCCTCCGGAAAGACATCGGAGTGGCTAGTTCCCCTGTTAGTTTGTTCTCAGTGGCAGAGGCCGGTTTCTTTTCGCTGCAGTCCGCAAAGGGTCTTGGAAGGACTGGAGGCTAGGATTCTCTGAGGACGGGAGTCCAGGCGGCCGTCAGCTCTCGATGGGGATGGAGGCCAAGGTCCTCCCGTCTCTGGGCGTGCGTAACTCGGTTTCCCCATTTGTGACGTGGGGAGGCAGTTAGTCTGGACATTGTTGTGGGAGGACTTACGGAGACTGGGCGAGGGGCGTGGGGCGTAGGGGTCAGTAAGGGCGCAGTGGGCCAGCGCCAGCCCGACTGGCAGTCCCGGGGTCGGGAAGGTAGGGAACCCTCCGCTCTCGCCCGGCTTCCTGTTTGCTCGGTGTGTTTTGTGACCATAGATGGTCAGGTCTGGGGCCGCGGGGAAGCCTCCGCCCTGTGGTTTGAAGCCCTTCCTCCTGGCGCGCGGGGTGTGGTCTCCTACAGTAACATGAGCAAAATTAGAGCAGATCCTGTACCCACTCCGCTGAAATCTGGTTTCTGAGAGCCTCGCCCGGGGCTGGGCGGGCCCAGGCGGCTGCTACTCGGTCCGAGGGAGGTTCCGCCGCACGCAGGGGTGGCTTCACTTCCTTGCTCCTTGGGCCTGGAGATCCGATCTTTGTTCCCTCAAGACTCAAACGCTTTCCAACCGGTCATTATCCTCCCACAAAGATTTATTTCTAGAAAAAATTGGCGAGTACCACAGTTCCCGCCCCTTCAGCTGAACTAATGTGACAGCTCCGTGTTTCAAATTGAATGCAGGCGTTATATGCCAGGGTCATTCAACAAGTAAAATTCTTATAATAACAGCTGCCATTTACTGCACCCTGACTACTTGCCAGGCCCATGCTGAGTGCTTCAAGCATGTTTTCATTTACTCCTAATAGCAACTCTCGGTGGTAGGTACCGTTATGTCCTCTGGTTTTCAAATGAGGAAGCTGAATAACTTGCCAAGGACAGAAAGTAACTGTTGAAACTTTGAAGGAAACACATCTGTGTGACGCTAATCCCATGAGCTTAGCCCCTGTGATAGACCATACAGGAGTCATTCGAGTCAGTGAATGCCTCTGGACCTGGAGAGACACTGGGTTCCAGTGCTGGCATAGGCCCTCTAGCAGGGGTCAATCTTGATCAGGTTACTTTGGACGGGTTACTGGGCCTCTTCCTAACTGTATGACTCCCAGCATGTTTAAAAGAATATGACAACATAAAAAACACGGTATCAAAGTAGTATATTTAAAATATTGACGTTTAAAAACTGTCTCTCATACACAAACTCTAACTTTATTAGGACATAATCTTTGACTCTACATTAGTTCTTCTAAATCTCTTTCTGGATTAGGGACAGAAGGAACATAGACTATACATGCATTCTAGAGGAAGAGGAAGCAGGAAGGAGAAGGAAGAAAGTTTCTTCATCTATCAAATGGGGATTATTCATGGGGCCATAATGAGAAATAGAAGCAATAATGTATATGAAACCACTTTGTAAAATGCTTCACTATAAGCCGGGCACAGTGGCTCATGCCTGTAATCCCAACACTTTGGGAGGTTGAGGCAGGTGGATCACCCGAGGTCAGGAGTTCAAGGCCAGCCTGGCCAAAATAGTGAAACGCCATCTCTACTAAAAAACCAAAAAATTAGCTGGACGTGGTATTGGGCGCCTGTAGTCCCAGCTACTCGGAAGGCTGATGCAGTACAATTGCAGAGGTTGCAGTGAGCCAAGATTGCACCACTGCACTCCAGCCTGGGTGACAGAGCAAGACTCTGTGAAAGAAAGAGAGAGAGAGAAGGAAGGGAGGGAGGGAGGGAAAGAAAAAGAGAAAGAGAGAGAAAGAAGGAAGGAAGGGAAGAAGGAAGGAAAGAAAGGGAGGAAAGGAATTTTTTTTATTTATAAATTACCCAGTCTAGAAAGGAAAGAAATATATATTATTTATTAATTAACCAGTCTAGAAAGGAAATAAATTTATATTATTTATAAATTACCTAGTCTAGGTATTTTGTTATAGCAGCAGGAATGAACTAAGACACATGTATACATACACTGTCATTCAATCCTGCTTTTCCTTCATGGTAGGTATTACAATTCTCATTAATTATTTGTGCAATTTTATTTTAATATCTTCCTCTCCTGTAAGTTGTTTCCTCTCAATAAGTCATTGTTTGGCAAAAATTGATAATAAACATTTATAGTAAAAATTGACTAAATAAAAAGGGTGAGAGGGGCCAAGGTGGCTCTGAGTCTTAGCATGTGGGTAAATGGAAGGTGTGAAAAGGATTGGATCTGGGTTTGGGGATTTTGAACCTCAGTCCTCAAAATCCAGCCTGGGAAGAGAAAGAGAAGAAGGAATGCAATTAATCAATTTACAACCAAGAATTGCCAGCAGAGAGTTGATTGATTCTCACACGTGCCCCCTCTTCATGTATTATTGCCACTTTGTTATGGCCTGGATTTCGGCACATTCTGAACCTGCAGAATCACTCTGTCTCTGAGGGAGCCACCCAAGCTTCCTCTTTATCTCTCAGGGTTTCAGATACAGAAGTCTGGCAGTTCATCTGGAGCCTTTCCCAGACTGACTCAGAGGACGGCCTGCATCTGTGCAACCTGGCTCAGAGCCGTCTACATTTGGGCAGATTCTATATCCCCCTGCCAAATGGGCTAATGACAGACAACAGTCTATGTGACCCTGTCTTCTTCCCCTCCAAGGGTATGGCCCCAGATTTCAGCCTGAGATAGGGTCTTAGGTCCAAAATTAGGAGTTGACAAAAGAAATAGCAGCAATATAAAAATATGATTAAGATCTGGCTTCGGGGTCACTGTGAAACTGAATTCCAACTCTGCCACTTACAAACTGTATGATCTTGGAGTTATCCTCATTTAACCTCAGAGAAGATATTAATACCCATCTTAAATGGCTGATAGAAATTAGGACAGAAAACTAATAAAACGCTTGGCTCACAGTAAACACTCAATGAGTACCAACAATTATTATTCAGTATAGAGAATCAATCTATTGTCTGTTTCCCTGGCAAAGGCCACCAGAAAGCAAAATAAGGTCTAAAGTGTCAACATACTAGATGGTGCCACCAGAACTACTACTACTACTGTCACCATCCCCAGAAAGTTTTCCCACAGCCCCTGCTTCTTTGTATTGCTAACTTTTTTTTGCCCAGGCTGGAGTGCAATGGTGCCATCTGGGCTCACCACAACCTCTGCCTCTTGGGTTCAAGCAATTCTCCTGCCTCAGCCTCCCCAGTAGCTGGGATTATAGGCATGCACCACCACACCCAGCTGATTTTTTTGTATTTTTAGTAGAGACAGGGTATCTCCATGTTGGTCAGGTTGGTCTCAAACTCCTGACCTCATGTGATCCACCCACCTTGACATCCCAAAGTGCTGGGATTACAGGCGTGAGCCACCAACCCTGCCTGTTTTTTTAAAGACAGAATCTTGCTCTGTTACTCAGGCTGCAGTACAGTAGTATAATCATAACTGACTGCAGCCATGAACTCCTGGATTCAAGTGATCCTTCCACCTCAGCTTCCGGAGGAGAACTGCAGGCACATGCCACCATGCCCAGCTATTTTTTGTATTTTTTTTAGAAACGGAATCTTGCTGTGTTGCCCAGGCTGGTCTGGAACTCCCGGCCTCAAGAAGTCCTCCAAACTTGGCCTCCCAAAGTGCTGGGATTACAGGCGTGAGCCACTGTACCTGGCCTTTGGATTCAAAGTTAGGCTAGGCACAGTGGCTCATGCCTGTAATCCCAGCACTCTGGGAGGCCAGGTTGGTAGGAATACTTGAGCCCAAGAGTTCAAGACCAGCCTAGGCAATATAGTAAGACCTCATCTCAAGGAAAAATAAATTCACAAAAGCAAAATTGGGTCTGTGCCCTTGGCTGTAAATGAGCCCAAATAAGTCAGTTAGGAATGTGAATGCTTCTGCCCACAGATAACAGAAAATTTGACTGTAGTGACTTTTTTAAAGTCAGTTTTTCTCACATATAAGGAAAATGAAGGTAGGCAGTTTTACTGGCTCAATAATGTCAGAGCTGTGGTTCACTTCACCTTACCCTTGTAGTTGCAAGTTGGCTGTTGCAGCCCTAGCACTATCAAGGAAAGAGGAAGGGGAATATGCAGCATTTGAAATTGGAAAGCTGACATTTTCTAAGGGACCCACAAAGCATGTCCTGCTTCCTGTCTCATAGCCAGATCTAACAGCAAATACTTCAGCTTTTTTGCCCCTGAGAGGAACACATCTGAGATGCATTTCACGGTGTTTTTGGGGGCCCCTAGAGGGCCTGAGCCCAATGTCCATAACAGTAACCACTCATTAACAAACCCAAATTAGCTTTTCTCCTTTCCCTAACTTACTTGTATCAGGAAACCCAAATTAAACAGAATGGAATTGGCTAAGTCCGCTACATCAGGAAGGTGACAAGTAAGCATTGCCGCTTGGACAGTGTAAGGTGCGTGCTCACTCTCTGTCTCTCATGTTTGGGATATTGTCCAGACATACAAAGGGGACACAGATGCTGAGTGTCCAATAAGAATGATAGGTGTCCACTAATAAACTCTTGTGACTTCCTGACATCAAAATACACCGTTCTTTCTATACTTACACTTCAAAAAACAAAATAAAACCCAAAACAACCCTCCCTTTTATAACCTAAATTGTACTGTCTATACTCACCTCCATCCCCCCAAAAAGAAATTATCTCAAATTCTTATCAGTGACTTCATCCAGCAACAAGTTCAGGATCTCTGAATAAGGTTCATTCTTTCTCCAGTTCATAATAATCCTGCCTTAATATTCTGTAGCCTATGGACTGAACTTTATTTCCTTTTTCTTTTTCTTTTTCTTTTTTTTTTTTTGAGATGAAGTTTTGCTCTGTCTCCCAGGCTGGACTGGAATTGCAATGATCTTGGGTCACTGCAACCTCCACTTCCTGGGTTCACATGATTCTCCTGTCTCAGCCATCAGAGTAGCTGAGATTACAGGCACCCAGCATCACGCCCAGTTCATTTTTTCTATTTTTAGTAGAGATGGGGTTTTTCACTATGTTGGTCAGGCTGGTCCCAGATTTTTGACCTCAGGTGATCCACCCACCTCAGCCTCCCAAAGTGCTGGGATTACAGGTGTGAGCTACCTCGCCTGGCTTCTTTTGTTTGTTTGTTTTTTGAGATGGAGGCTCCCTCTGTCACCCAGGCTGGAGTGCTGTGGGGCAATTTTGCCTCACCGCAACCTCTGTCTTTCAGGTGATCCACCTGAGGAGAATCCCTAGTAGAATCCTGAGGAGGTACCCCTAGTATTCTCTGGATTATATGCATAATTCTACACTCTATTGTATACTG